TTTACCCTGGGCTTGAGCAGACCCTTCTGCAGCTCACCGCTGTTCAGGCCGTACAGGTAGCACATCTTGTCGGCAGCTGAGTAGAGATTGGATAGGTACAAGATCAGACTTACTCGCTCACTCTGATCACTTTATTTTACTTAACGCTCGCACTCTTTTAAGTGGGTCTTTTCCGATGGCGAAAAGATGGTCACTTTGTCAGCAGCTTTAGCAAACATATATCTTACTGTGAATGCCACTGTCAAAGATAGTCACAAAAGAACTTAAGGTTCGTGATTAAAACTTACACTCAGTGCCATCGCATTCGGCCTGCTCCTCCCTTGGCTTGGACTTGAACTTGATGTTGCCGAAATGCAGAAGACCACCAGTCAACTTGTAGATGTTGGTCTTCTCGTCCTGGGTGAAGCCCAGCACGTCGAAGGCCTCGTCCGTCAACAGCATTTCCTCCTTGTCGTCCACGTTCTTGATGGTCTTCTCACCCTTCTCCAAGAACTTGTACTCATGGGCGTCTTCGTTCACCATGATCATTTCTGAAATGCATGGTGAGAGAACGTGTTTGTACTTTCCAGGATGTCTTATATAAAAGCAGGGGGCCGTTACATACTTGTACGCTGTCCCATTGTTCTGTTAGCTAATCTACGACAGAACACACCTCCGGATCTGCGACAACTTCCAAAAGGCGGATAAATTATCGTCTATGTCTACACGACGACGTCTTGGACACGTTCATGACTCGTTAACAAAGGTTAACTTACTTGTGACCTCCTTCAGGCCGCTGGACAGCAGCTGGTAGAAGATATGGTAGCCACGCTCCATACCAGGCAGCTGCTCGACCACACGCACCTTCTCCAACAGATCTGGAGGATACAGAAGTTACTTAGCAAACAAGACAAGGCCTTCAATATATTTTGTCTCTAAAAGGTGATGGCTGAAAAGAATGAGTGTGGAATACAAAGGACAAATTCAAAGAGTGATGGTTTGTATACGTACAGGACTCGATGTCGGCACCAGCCAACTTGCCCTTGGTGTTGAAGTGGATCCTGATGAATTTACCCTGGAAGAAGACGGATTAGAATGTCATGTTTGGCACCATTGTTGCAGCAACGCCACCCAGCGGTGGGTAGCAGTAGGTTGTGATAAAGGACAAGGCAGTTAGAATGACATTACTTTGTCTATGCGACTAGAACGTAACGTTTTACGACGCGGTACACACATTTTAACATTATGTACTTACGAAACGGGAGGAGTTGTTGTTCCTGACAGTCTTGGCGTTACCGAAGGACTCCAGTACAGGGTTGGTCTGCACGATCTGGTCCTCAAGGGTGATCTTCTTCTCTTCTTCGGCCTTCTTGGGGCCTCCCAGAGCAGCGACCAGGGCGAAGTAGGAGATAACCTTCTTCGTGTTCTCAGTCTTACCGGCACCAGACTCGCCACTGTGGTCAAATAGTTGTTTGTCAAATTAGCAAAGTCTACCCAATTACAGTACACGTACGTACAAAACAAACACCACACTTAATGATTTCGTGAGCCCTGCTAGTGTCCTAGGCTACATTGAGAGAAATGGCATCTATGGGAATAGATACTTACGTGATCAACATAGACTGGTTCTGGTGGTCTGTACGGCAGGACGGTAAAAGAGAGAAAGATAGAAATCGTGAGATTGACTAAGAATTTAAAAATGAAAAAAAAAAAGCAAAACACAGCAGAGTGGATGTCACAAACACTTAGGATGTCGTCAAATTTGCCTTTAGCGACCTAGATCTTTGTTCCGATATCGTTTTTGTCATTGGACAATACGTCCAAGTAGTCTTACCGATCAACATGTTCTGGTAGGCATTGTCAGCCACAGAGAACAAGTGAGGCGGCACTTCCTGACGCCTCTTGCCACGGTACATGCCAACAACCTCCTCCGTGTAGAGAGGGAGGCGCCTGAAGGGGTTGATCACGACGCAGAACAACCCGGAGTAGGTCTGGAGTAGGGAAACGAAACATTTAAGGAGTTAAAGAACAATTCAAAGTCAACGCACGCCTTTTTAAGTTAGTTGTTTCTGGTGCAAACCTTTCACCGGTGACTCAATAAACCTTAGTTTGTAGAATAACTCTGAGGCTTGCAATGTTAAGTCTTATGGTCTCGACTCTGGACACATGCCTTGTTTGTTTGTACGAGGGTTTAATCAAGAGTTTGGAAAAGCAAACTCATTCAGAAAAAGAAAAAGTCAGAAAATGTCTGAAAAAATGTACTGAAAATGTGTTTATAGATTACATTTTCTTCTGGCTGGAGTCGATAAGAATTATACGACCACTAGTGGTTATCCTATCATTTCTGTTTTCCCAGTGGTGTACCCCAGCGCCACCCCCCCCCCGCATTCTTGCTATGTTAGCTGACATCTAATTGACAGGTCCGTATCCCGTTTGAACCGCCCGCCCTGAGCGCGTGCCCGGCTGCGTGTTTGTCTTGCTCCCGTTTTGGAAGTCGCGCGCGCTCGTGGCTTGTACCAACAGTAATCGACCCCATTACCATAATTAGACATGGTTTCGTAGATCTGCCGACTCGTCTACTATGAGCTTCTCGTTTTTCGTAATGTCATTGTTCCAGCCGCACTTTCGGTGTGCGATTTTTGTAGCGGTTTTCTTTATCGAAATTTTGACAGTTCTGATCGTGTACAAGGCGTGAAGAACACTTTCCTTTACAAGGCAGCTGTATATTTTACAGAACATCCAATGATGTCTCTACGGTGCCTTCAATTTGCTGAAGTAAACCAAGCGTACTGGCCCTTAGCTTACTAGTACATTCGTGTCCAAGCAAATGTAACTAGCTGGAGCTCGTCCCGTGCGTCTGTCTCTATCGTTTTGTACTCAACCATTACCCCCGGTTTTAGTTCCAAGTTGTTTGCATTCTTTTACTGTTGTTTTAGCAGAACTCAAACCCCTGTCAACACATTTTTAGGCCCGTCCATCAAATACATAAAAATGGATCTGCTAATCATCGCATCATCTTACAGACTGTGAAAACGCTACTATAAATGTTACAAGTATGAATTAGTGACTTACGTAGATCAGGCCATTGGCATAACGGTCCCTGAGGGTCGCCAGCACAGAGGCGTCGTTCAGGTAGGTCATGTTGGCCATGTCCTCGCAGCAGACGAACTTGGAGGGGTTCATCATCACCAACTTGTCCTTGGGAAAGTCCTTGGTCTACAGAGGGTTAAGAAAGTGGAGTTTAAAGCAAACGTTGATTCTTGTACACTTGAAGAGGCAAAGAAAAAGATCCTGTACAAAAATTCCAAAAGTTTATTGCAAATCATAAAATGAATAAATAAATTCTTGCCCAATAGGGTCAATTTCATATAGCAGGAAAATAGCGAACAAGCATGAAGCACAATGTGCATTTTACATGTGACTATTCTAGTCGTAAAGCTTGCTCTGCATTTGTCCGATGATGTGATGTCAATTTTGAGTATTTGTTGTACTTACGGCGCCTTTCGGCAGCTGCACCACGACCTTGTCGCCCTTCTCTTCCTTCACCTCCACGGCGATGTAGCATTCCTTATCGTCGGGGACCCAGACGTTCTTCTTGGGATCGTAAGGCGCGGAGCGGAGCTCCATCAGCAACTTGGTGTCGCCGTAGATGTAGACCCGAGGGTCGTCGGAAATCTTGTCCTGCTTGGGCGGCATCTTGGCTGCTGCTCGGGTTCCTCTTGGCTACAGAAGAAGGAAGGAGTGGCACGCCGACAGAGCTACACGGGAGAGACAGAAGAGAAGCTGGTGCGTTACGCCGGTACTGAAATAGAGGGGCTACACGTACTGCGCGAGGTCCTCCCAGGAATACCAGATAGGGACCACGAGAAGGGGGGGGGGGGGAGGGGGAGAATTCAAAGCATGTTTTTTCCTCCGGAGAACAAACCTTATTTCTATAATTAGACTCATTTGTGCTGACCTAATTTCTGAGCGAAAAGATCGAGCAAAAATTTGTCACATTCGTCCCAAAACCTACGCGGTATCTGGGCCTCAAACAAGCAAGCAAACAGATCATCTCACTACAAACTAGGGCGACCTTATTCCGTTCCCCACTCGCATGCCCTTACCCTCTGTTTCTTTTTTCCTCACAAGCATTATCTAAAGCGTAAGATCTTACTCAGGGTACTTTGGCATTCAACGTTACAGCGATATTGCTCTCAGATCACAACACACAAAAAAAGGATGGTTTGAACGCTACTTCGTGCATTGGAAGACTAAAATGTGAAATAAGAAAAAAAGAAGAAATAATACGAACGGGTCGTCTACCTTTCGGTCAAAAGCTGTCGGAATAGCGGGCGAAGGGGTGGCGGCCTTTATAACAGCGTAAATAGCAAGTGTAATCACATTCGTTAAATTCTGGTCGGCCATTCGCTGGTTTTCTTTAGCGTGAGCTGTGATTGGCCAGGAGATAGTTGCACAGTTTGGCTCTTCGGGGACTGCGAAGGATGACGTAGACATGAGAGACAGGTGCATTTCGGGAATCATAGGCTGAAAGAGGGAGTGACTTAAAATAAGTATTAATAGAGGGAAAATGTCAGTACGGTTTCATTTGAATTCCTTCCCTCGACAAGCGATCAGGGGATGTTTTAAGAAGTTTGGAAAATTGGAACAAAAGTCATCTTTTCTGATGGGAAAGACTTGGGTCGTTCGCGCCAGTTTGCTTATGAGTTCGCGTACTGCCGACGAAGTGTGCATGCTGTGTAAATTGTTGTTTGGGAGCTCGCTGGCTTAAATGGAAACGCGACCAACGGATTCCGAAAAGTACCATGGCCACGGCCTGTATCGCTGTGCTTTAAAATTGGTTGTAAAATGACATGTGAAAGAAACGCTGACATCTTTCTGTTGTCCATTGAAGTCTGACCCATGATCAGCTTAACGCGTTCAATTTATTAGGGCGCCCTGGTCATTCACCCCTGTTTCCAGGAGGCTTACGAAAACATGCGTCAAATTCCAATTTGTTTATTCCCATCTCCATGGCATAACTCCCATGGAGGCTCGCAGCCATTCTGCCTCGTCATTGCTGTCTTTACTCTCGTCGCAGTAGACGGGCAAGAACTTTCTTCCGTCGCATCCTTAGAAAAGAGTAGTCTCCGTAGCAGGCTTATAGAACTGGGAGTTTGGTGGTCTTCGGCTGTTTTCTGACCAGCCCAGTTCTAACCAGGCCGGCTATGCTGTCTATATGCAATCAGAAAATTGCACACAAAAGCTCCAAAAGACCTTGAAGACCCTCAAAACCTCCGGTTTTTGGCATGCTATGGAGGAGCAGCTTCTGATTACAGGAGAGAGGCAAAGCAAAGCGATTTCAGCGACACAGACCGGACGGAGGAGGTCAAGTCGTAATCTGAGGGTCAGTAGAAGAACGCGCGAGGTCTCTGGGACAAGGACAAGGGCGCCGACAGAGCCGCCAAGGTGAAGGGCAGGATCATCCCTACCGAGGCCAAGGTCACAAGCTGTGAGTACAAATGCCATTACCCTTATCTGTATCATCACTGCGTCACTGTTAACGCACGGTCCTAATCTTACGGAACTACAGGGTACGAGGGTTCGTCTAGGAGGCAGTGGTACAACTTCCAAGCCACAACTCTCCTTTCTCCTTTGTATAATTATGACCTATAAAACCTTTTATTAATGTGTAACAAAACGCTTATGATTATTTCGTCGCCGTTTTGAACACCCCGTAGCATCTTGATTTACATGTACCCCCACCTTTTATAGATGAATTATGGTGTGTAGACAGCAGTGGGTAGGGGTATAATGACCGAGCTGACCATAGTTTGGATTATGTTACGGTGTTTGTAAATGCGTTATAAATTTTGGGATCGTTATACTGGAGAGATATTCATATGGTTCTTACAATGAGTGTTAAAAGAAACAGTTCAGGACGGAGAAAAGAAAATAGGGGTAGGCAAAGGAAAGGATGGGCAGCGCATGATATCAGAGAGTAAATGGACCGGCACGATACTTAATTAGACGATAAGAAGAACAGAAACCTAGAAGGGTTGAGACAACTGGTTGTCAGATCGTCTATGGTGTCGCAAAATACAAATAATTAGCCCAAGGGGTAGATGAGATGATTGTAAAACTGTTTATATCTTCAGTGGCTTTACGAGATGTTCCTTGTCAAGTTCCAAGTAACTTGATAAAGGTAATGAGGTTCTATTTTGCTGACTCGCTAAAATCTAGATACAGATGTGCAGTGCGGGAAAGTTTATATCATAAACGGGATATCTTTGTAAAAACACCTAGTAGAACATGTCGTTCTGTTAAATTTTGATCAGTTTTTTTTTTAAATGTGGATAAACTTGCATACCATCGATACTTGTCATTACATTGCAAAGGTTTACATAGCAAATATCCCCAAAATAGCGACGCGCGGCGCCATTGGTCGAAGTTGTTTGTTTGCCGGTCTTTTTTTATACTGAAGTTGCGATGGGACTAAGAAAACATTAATGTCATGGATTTCCAAATATGGGTCCAGGCGCTGCCATGAACCAAGTTGATTATTTCTTGTCTTTTGTACTTTTAGAAAAACTAAAGACAAAAGTTTCATTCTGCTTTACGAAAATGATTTCACATGCCTGCTGGCAGATTTTCGCGAGCGCCGCCCATAGTGAATTTGTTATATCTTGTCATTGTACAGAAATGTGCTAATGCCGTTCTTTCAACTTCAAGGCAACCTTACAGAGACAATAGCGCTATGGTAAAATAGTTCACAAAACTTCTAAGAATGGTCAACAACACAAACACAAGTGTAGGATGGCATGGGTGACTCTTTTTACCCCAAGGATGATACAATAGTTGTTTTCATGGTTTTGTATTTTCATAAAATTTATTGACTTGATTTCCGTGGTGAATTCTGTGAGTGTGAGTATAATGCCACTACACAACTGTTCACCAAAAGCAGAACTCATATTGGAGAGATGGCTACTTTAGCCGAAAAGATGAACTTGCATTTTTTACAAATGCTGGGGCCAAATACCTTTCTGAATGAGGAATCTGTGAGGGCAAATATAGCTGATTAGCCCCCACAGCTGCGCGGCGGCTCATTATGAAACTGTTTGCATAGTGATGTTTATCGTACCAGCGCACACAGAGGAAAGGGGTTTCAATTAACCGGGAACTTATCGTTAGACTATTGGTGTTAATGAAGCTTATGGATATCAATAAATTGGACTCGAAGATTCTCTTATACCGAGCAAAGGATTTGGGGTTAAACCGTTTTGAGATTCATGTCATCGTCTTAAGATTAATGACCCGGATTTTCTGATCGGAGATCGCGTTTCACATTCCGGCACGCGAGGCGAAATTGACCCTTATGGAGTGGAGGTGCGAAACGGCACTGTGCAGGACAGGGACGGTCTTCTGTATCTGTATTCTGTATAGCCAGTATAACTCCCGTTCGGCGTAACACACCAGCTTCGCAGGCACGCGGCGCAGCGACAGCTGGATACATTACGCCGAACGACGTGTTACACCTAACCCTTGAACATCTAACTCTAAACATTCTTTAAAGCTATCTAATGACAATGCCCCTGCTGCTCACACAGATCTGTAGTTAGCAGTGCGGATACTTATCAACATAGATATGAATTTGCTACAGTATCTGACGGCTAGGAACATGCAGATGGTTAGGTAAAATAATAATCATCTTTATTATTTTGAGATAATTTCTACCAAATATCAATCTAAATTTTAGTCTCTTTACCGGTTTGATCGTAGCATTATACAAATATAAGCTTTTGTACCTTTTCCTTTTTTTTATCATGCTGGATCAGGTCTGCATCTGTCCACAAATTCCGCTTGACCGCACAAACCGATAAGGGGTGGAGTCCATGGTGGTCTATCCTCAACGGGGGTGTCTTACTGATCTCTAAATCCCATGATTTAATTAGCGTAAGCCCGTAATCTAGGTATCAGCACAGCTATCGTTAGATGCACTGGGTATATCCGTGAAAGCTTCCGTGTGGGTCGAAAGCGACGCCAGTATACGTAAAAGGCAAGCAGAGTGCTGGTTCACCTGAATAGTAGGTAAAGGTACAGGTATCCCCAGTGGGCAGTTTCACCTTAGCGGCAATGTTGCTGGCCACGGCGTTGGAAGGCAGAGCCCATCCTTTTCTACCGACTTTTGCCTCCCAAACCAATGTTAGTCACCTGTATGGAGTGAGGAAAGTCGTGTCGCCGTAGATGTAGTCCCTGGCCATGGTGGTCTATCCCCAACGGAGAGGTCTTACTGATCTCTAAATCCCGTAATTTAATTAGCGTAAGCCCGTAATCTAGGTATCAGCACAGCTATCGATAAATACGCTGGAAGTATCCGCGAAAGCTTCCGTGTGGACCTCAAGCATCGCCAGTAAAAGGCAAGCGGAGTGGGTGCTGGATCACCTAGGTATCAGGTAAAAGTTAGATATCAGGTAAAAAGGACAGGCATCCCCCACTAAGTAGTTTCGCCTTTGACTTTGACTTTATTGGGATCCACACTTAGCTTACAACAAATGTAGCTATTCTTCCTGTGGTCCTTCAAGACACACATGACACATTTACAAAACATAAATACATTGGCAATTACAACATATGCGGCCTTAGCGGCATTGGGTTAAATCTTGCTGGCCACGGTATTGGAAGGCAGAGTCTAACCCTCTCTTTCTACCTACTTTTGCCTGCCAAACCGATCTCAGGAACATGTATTGAGTGAGGAAAGCCGTGTCGCCTTTACTAAGGACTTCTGGTTCGGTGCAGCTAGGAATCGACCTGTGTACGCTAGCCTAATAACCACTAAGCCGTCGACGGCACACAACTGGATATCATTAGTTGGTTATTTCCTACATTTATTACATAGCAGCAGCAGCATCAATGGTAGTTAATTCTGGCCCCATAACGAGACCGTAGATCAGACAAGCGCCTGTTGGGCAGCTGTTTTCGAGCTAATTACTGACCAAAGCGGCTCTAAGGATAACTAAAGTTTTTACTATGGATTAGCACTTCTTTTTCTGTCGGTTATATTTGCAAATTACTAATCTCGACAGTCAACGTCTAATTTGGGCCCTCCTTAGTCATGGTATACATGTAGGTACTAGATACAGAATATTAAGGATTTTGATACTCTAATACTTACTCAGTATATTACGGGTAATTGCAAAATGGACAGCAAATGACCAAAAAGGATGACATTTTTGTTCAAAGAAGTTTAATCAGTATCAATGGCAACGAAGCAACCATACACGTCACAAAACCATACATTTTTTTCCAAACGCATCTCTAAGACTACTTAGTGGTCCCGGAAGAGATACATATACAATATATACTCTCGTTTTATCCTTTTCCAGAAGGTTGATTGCGTCGAAGTTTGGGCTGAAACAAGTTCTTATCTGCATCAGTCCTAAGTTCCATGTACGTTTCTTAAATTGCGACAACTTTTCGTTTTAACTAAGTTTAATTGCTTAAATTTAACGAGCTGAAGACGTGGAACATAACAGAAAGACGAACGTAACAGAGACAGACATTGAAGGCATATGGCAAGAAGTGTTAGCCACACTTAGTAGAGACTGAATTGCATCTAGTGCGTCTACAACGCCGCTCACAGTGAGTTGTTTTTATATGGCGGCAAACTGACTTTTTCAATGTTGCTGTGTATCTAACCGTAGCTATTCAAGTAGTAGTTTTACATCGGATGACTCGGTGGCCGCTTCACTCCGCGTCACCCCCACTCAGTCGCTGTGTCAGTAGAGAAGTGCGTGCGTTGGGGCTCCCAAACGGGAGTGCCGCTAGTAAGGGAGACACCGAGGCCGCCGATGATACTGGGCTTCTAAAGTCGACTATGTGTGCTACGTTGTACAGACAGTCAGGGGATTCGGTAAACGCTTTACTTCTTGCCCTGAAACAGACAAACACGAAGAGAAGATGTCAGCAGGAGTGAAAAGTCAAATATTTGAATGAAAGCTAATCTGTGATGGTATAATCCACAGTTATATAGTCCATAGCCAAAGTCAAAGTCAAATATTTGTCAAAGGAAATTGCAAATTTGAGGTCAATACGCTTACGGAAGAGGAGCGGTGTTGGGCACGCATCTTGCCCAGGGCGGACTCGGCCATCTCGGCCCTCTCCTGGGCATCCTCCAGATCGTGCTGGGTCTTGCGCCACTTGGCGAGGTTGACGTTGGCCTGCTCCTCCTGTAAATCAATACATATGATGTTGATCAATATACTATTATATTGCATCGGAAATAGATAAAAGAATATTTCATTGTCTGCTTCTCCTTCGATACTGCTAAAAATGGACACATCGATTCTCGGCTTTGCTGAGAAAAGTGGAAATTGCGCGTTGCGAAAATAGTGATAAAGGATACATACAGCGTCCTCCACTTGTCTCTTGTAGGTCTTGATCTTCAGTTGCAGCTTCTCAACCATCTCCTGCATGCGCTCCTCCTTCTTGCGGTCCTCGTCGGCCTGGAAGCTCAGCTCCTTGAGACGGCGCTCGTTCTTCCTCAGGTTCTTCAGCGTCTCCTGGTGGCGCCTCTGCTCGGTGTCGAGTTCAGACTCCAGGTCACGAACCTGTGTTACAGAAAAAAAGTTCTTGTGTTCTCTCAATCAGTGAAACATAATGCAGTTGAATAATGATTTCTTCTTTATACGAAGAAATGACAAACCGCAAGAGTAGCATATACCTGGGTCTAAAATCATAACCTCACCTTGGCCTCCAGCTTCTGCAGTGCGCGCTTGCCACCCTTCATGGCGATAGCCTCAGCCTCGTCCAGTCTCCTCTGCAGGTCCTTGATGGAGGCTTCCAGGTTCTTCTTGCTCTTCTCGATGTGAGCGGTGTGTTCCTGCTCCTGGCGCAGGTCCTCAGCGATGCGGGAGGCCTATTCAAGTAAAGAAACAAATGTAAACGCGGTTTAGAACAACGTACGAGAGTGCGAAAGAATATCAGTTTCGTTGCGAAATTTACTTACGTCAGAAAGGGCCTTCTTTGCCTTCTCCTCGGTCTGCCTGTGCTCAGACATAACCTCGTCCAGCTCAGCCTGCAGGGTCTGGATCTCACCCTCCAGCTTCCTCTTGTGGCCAGCCAGAGAGGTGTTCTGTGCAGACAGCTCGCCGACGCGGTCGGAAGACTCCACAAGCTCGGCCTCGGTCATCTTGCGTGCCCTCTCGGCCTGGTCCAGGGCGTTGCGGAGCTCTTCAAGCTCAGCGGTCAGCATGTTGGAGCGGCGCTCGGACATGGCGAGATGCTCGCGAGCCTCCTCACGTGCCCTCTGTTCGTCGTCGATTGTGGCCTGGACTTCCTGAATCTGGTTCTGGAGCTTGTTGATGGTCTTCCTGGCCTCGTTGTTGGCCTTGGAGGCGTTTTCCAAAGCGGCTTCGACCTCATTGACATCGGCCTCCAGCTTCTTCTTGGCCCTGACAGCCTCGTTCCTGCCCTTGGCCTCAACGTCCAGGGTGGTCTGCAGGGCATCCAACGCCCTCTGGTGGTTCTTGCTGTAACAGCAAGGGAAAAGTCATTATAACCGTGTTACCGTAATATCCTCTTGAACCTTATAGGTACGTTCTGCAATCGATGCTGGTCACCATTCCTCGTAAACGTATCATGGCTTTAAGAGGCAACTTACCGTGTGTTCTCGAACTCCTCGTCCTTCTCGGCCAGCCTGCGGTCGATGTCAGCCTTGAGCTGAGACAACTCGAGCTGGACACGCAGGACCTTGCCCTCCTCCACTTCCAGTGCACCCTCAGCCTCCTCGAGAGCGGTCTGCAGTTCCTCCTTCTCAACCTCCAGGCGCTTCTTGGCCTTCTCGAGTTCGTGGACACTCTTGCCACCCTCGCCAAGCTGATCGGTCAAGTCGTGGATTTCGTCTGCAAAAGATAACCGAAAAAATATGTTTGAATACCACTGCGAAAAAATGTGAGTAGCACCAGATAGCACAAGTGTCGATAACAAAGTTTAAAACTTGAATCTTCAAAGATAAAGTTGAGAAAATATTTACCGTGCAG